GATCTGATCGAGGTAGAGAGTATGTGAATACAAATTTAAAGGATTTTCTTCGAAAGGAAGGAATTGAAATGCAATACACCGTTGGATATGCACCCGAGCAAAATGGTACAGCGGAGAGGAAGAACAGATATCTACTCGAAATGGCAAGATGTATGCTGATAGAAGCAGGTTTACCGAACAAATATTGAGGAGAAGCGGTGTGCACTGCGAATTATTTACAAAATAGACTTTATACAAGGGCCACAGACACAACCCCGTTTGAAAGGTGGTACGAAAGAAAACCATCTTTGCAACATGTGCATACGTTTGGTATTAAGGCATACGCGCACGTCCCGAAGGAATTGAGAAGGAAGCTTGACGAGAAAGCAAATGAATTCGTGTTCGTAGGCTATGCAGAAAATGCAAAAGGATACCGGCTATTAAATACGAGTACGGATAAAATTATAATAAGTCGGGATGTAAAGTTTCTGGATGAGGAAAACGACTCGAATGAGGTAATTATCGATATGGAAAAGACAGAACAAGAAGTACAGAAGAATGAAGAAAAAACAAAGGATCAAATAGAAAGGATAAAAAATGAAGGTAAAGGTAAATACCAAGAAGAAGAAGGAATATTAATTCAAGAAGAGAGCAACTGTCAAGATATGCAACTGAGAAGATCTCAGAGGTCTAATAAAGGAGTTCCCCCAGATAAATTTTGCAGTTTGGCGTGTCGCGCGACAGAGGAAGAAAACGTATTGGAACCAGAAACATACAAGCAAGCGTTATCTTCGCCCAACCGTACAGAATGGATCAATAGCATGCAGGAGGAGTATAGCTCACTTATGAAAGCAGACACGTGGACGTTGGTGGATGAACCAGAGGATAAGAATGTTGTTGGCTGCAAATGGGTCTACAAAGTGAAAATGGATGCTGACGGTCAGGTGGTCCGATACAAAGCAAGACTGGTTGCGCAGGGCTACACCCAGGAGTATGGCATAGACTATCAGGAGGTATTTACACCAGTAGCAAGGCAGACGACGTTTAGGACAATGCTGGCGGTAGCGGGGAAACAAAAACTAACAGTAAGGCACTTTGATGTAAAGAATGCGTATTTAAATGGGACCCTGGAAGAAACGATTTACATGATACAACCCCAAGGCTTTGAGGTAAAAGGTAGTAAAGAAAAAATGGTATGTAAATTAAATAAAAACATTTATGGTTTAAAGCAAGCAGCGAAAGTGTGGAATGACAAGTTAAATAGCATTTTGATTAAAGAGCACTATAAGCGAAATCAGGTTGATTTATGTTTATATACAAAGAAAATTAATATGGATAAAGTTTATATAATAGTTTATGTAGACGATATAATTATTGCGAGTAGTAATGTAAGACATATAACCGAAATGTATAAAAGACTAAGTAATTATTTTGAGTTAACAGATCTCGGTGACATTAGTTATTACTTAGGCATTAGAGTAACCAAAGATAAAGATGGTTTCTATAGTATTGATCAAACAGGTTACATTGAAAAATTATTAAAGACTTATAAAATGGTAGATGCGAAAGAATCAAAAATCCCACTTGATACAGGTTATAGAAAGAGAAAGGACGAATCTAAAAAGGTTGAAAAAAGACAGTATCAAAGTTTAATTGGAGCTTTAATATATATAACAACTAACACTAGGATAGATATAGCAGCAAGCGTATCAATTTTAAGTAGAAAAATGAATTGTCCTACAGAGGCTGACTGGAAAGAGGCCAAAAGAGTAATGCGTTATTTGAAAGGCACTAAAGATTTGAATTTAATGTTAGGTACACGAATAAAAGGACAAAGTACTTTATTTGGATATTCGGATGCCGATTGGGCGCAGGATACTGAGGATAGGAAGTCCAACAGCGGATATCTGTTTAAGTTTAACGGAGGGACAGTAAGTTGGGCATGCAGAAAGCAGTCGTGTGTGGCATTATCCTCAACAGAAGCTGAATATGTCACTCTGTCAAAAGCTTGTCAGGAAGCGGTATGGTTGAGGAATCTATTATGTGACTTCAACGAAGAACAATTACAAGCGACAATAATATTTGAAGATAATCAAAGTTGTAATAAATTAGTGAATAAGGACAAATATAGTAAGCGAACGAAACACATTAGTACTAAGTATAATTATGTAAAAAACTTAAGCGAGTCCAGTGTTACTAACTACATATATTGTCCGACTGAAGAAATGGTAGCAGACATATTAACCAAGCCTCTTGAACAAGTAAAGTTGAAGAATTTAAGACAGTTAGGAGGTTTGAATAACTAATAATAGAATTGTCGTTGAGAGGGGGTGTTGGAAAGCAACAACAATCCAGTTTTTTAAGATTAGCGCGATAAAAGGTTACTAGATGTAAGCGCTAGTGTAGACGCGTAGCGCTGCATGCGTGTGGCGTTGCTTATTATTGTACCGTTTGTTCTATCAATTCAATCCAACAAAAAGAAAAAGAATTAATCTGAGACTCTCACGCCAACTCTTCGGGACCGACCCGACACAGCGGACTTTGAGGAAGAAACATAATACACTGACACACACTTACAAACGCCCAAATAAAAGCCATAAGTACCTAAAGGTACTTCTGTACATAGTGTACAAAACTGAATAAAGAGACATATAATTGGATTTGTGGAACCTCCCTAATTAAGCGACACCTATCCATAAGCGTATGGAACGAATATTACATTGCTCCTTTTTAAGGAACCCTAAAGTTTAAGGTTACAATCAACGATATTAATACTTACTGCCGGTTGTTGCTGCTACGAATTCAGCATTAAAAATTTTTTTATGCATGAATATATATAAATATGTACGAATATATATAAACATGTATATTCACAAACGTATATAATTAATATTATATATGAAATATACCCATACATCCTTCCTTCTTTTGTAAAATTACTTTTTAGTGCAATAAGAATAACAATAATTAGGAAATATAAAAAATAGTTAAAAGGATAATTTTTACATTATGTAATAATATTTTGAAAAAATTAAGTTTGGAAAAATGTAAAAGAATTATTCATATAATTATACATATATAAAATTATACATAATTATGTTTGAGTAATTTTTTTACATTTCACCAAACTTGATTTTTTCTAAAACAATACAAAAATTATCCCTTTAATTATTTTCGATGTTTTCTCATTATTATTACCATTATTATTTTTATTATACTAGAAAGCAATTTTACAAAAGAAAAAAGAATGTATGAACAGGTATGGACTTATTTCATATACAATTACAATATATATGTTTATGAACATTTATACAGGTTTATGTATATTTACAAATATTTATATATATTCATGCATGAAAAATTTTTTATCGGTATCAAATACGTTTATATCCAATAATTCATCGTTTACGTAAACATAAAGTTCTTTCATTTTCAAGGAAATGTGATTTTTATCACAATAATAACTTCACACAATAATAATATGAAGTTACTGACTCCTTTCCCGTCTAAAATGGCCAACATAACCCTCGCGCATAGATATTGCAGGAACTGCTTCACCTCGGGAGCTGAAGCAGTCACCTCTGTGAAACTGGTCCCTCATTTTCAAAATTGTGAAAAAATAAGCAGAGTTCTGGTTGCCCCCCGAAGAGTTCTAGAGTTCTCTATCAATTTTAGAAAGAGTTCCGTTGATTAAAGCGATGAAAACACCATTTGAGTTTCGGGGAGGGTCAAGTTCACGATTCCGAAATTTTGAAGGGCTATGATTTCTTTACTGTTCATTTTAGCACTTTGATCCACATAGGACAATCGATAAAACTCTTCGGGGAGGGGGGGGCAACCAAAACTCTGCTTATTTTTTCAAAATTTTGAAAATAAAAGGCCAGCTTCACAGAGGTGAAGCAGTCCATACCGCTGTCTTGTGCTGCGAGCCGTGTAGCCCACCCTACCGTTCTCATGCGCGTATGAACGGCGCATGGAGTAAAACGGAACGCTTTTCATGCGCATCATGTATGAAACAGAACGTCTATGTGTGCGTACGTGCGTGTATATGTGCATGGGCGGGCGCGCACGCACGCAAGCACACACTCCAAACATGTGATATGCAAATTTCAACCAAGCGATCTCCCTATAGTGCACATCGGATAACGCGAATGTCAACGGTAATTATCCAAAATCTTGCAAAATGTAGGATTCACTTTAAAACATAACCCATCTCTCAAGCATGTTAAAGTAATGATTGTGGTGTCATTTTAAAAAGGAAAAGTTTCCCACTTCAAAACCTATGTGGTGACATTTCTCGCCCCGTCTTCGTTTTGCCCGTGGAAAGCTGAAAATCGTGATATTTTCAGAATTTTAATATTGCTTCTGATCTTCACGAATAAGACCATTAGATGAGGCAAAAATATCATTTTAATTGTTTTAAAGTTGAGGTTTACCCTTCAAAATGCATCCAGAAAAATTGTCCTGCGATTCCTGGAGAAGCTGAAATAGTCTTTTAAAAATCGGCAAAATTTGCATATTTTAGAGATCCCTAATTTTGATGCATAATGTATTTAGATAATGCTTAATTTCTTTCTTATTCAATTTTTTCAACAAGTCAAATAAAAATGAAAATTTACTCTGACTCTTGCAAAACTATAATTCTAATTGATGACTGATTTTCTTATATATTGTAATTACATTTCTTTCAACATTCTGCATATAAAGATGTATTATTAAAAAATCGTTTTGAAGATACTTCACATATTATCAATATTATAAATATTATAAATATTGCCTATTATTAAATATTTTTTAATATTTAAATATTTCCATATTATTACTATAAATATAAAAATGTAAAGAGAAAAATTAACTGTTTTGTAAAAAAAATTATATTTTTATATTTTACGATTCTTAAAAAATGAAAATAACTAAAAAATAGTATATTATTTAAATTTAAAAAAAGGATTGCTCCGTTTTAGTTCAAGAACCATATTTTTTAGATGATTATATTGGAATATCCTGTATGTATATTAAGATTATTTCTCCTTACCTTTTGTGAGTAGATGAAAACACGAGACGCAAACACGGGAATCAATATTTCCCTGGTACTCTAATTTGTATTTCATATTGCAACATTTGTTACATAGTACCTGCAAAATGAGTTGTAAATTTAAATATTGGATTCTTACAAAAAAAGAAATGCAATATTACAAAGGAGGATGTTAAAAAAGTCCGATTTTTTGCTCTCCTGCGGAACCTTAGTTAATCACAAAAAGTTGTTATTTGGGATCCACATAAAATAATAAAAATAGTTTCATATCCCAGAAATGCGGGGAAAGTAGATTTTTGTTGTGTTATATGTGTCTCCTTTTGTAAGTCGAATTTTCGTATACCACGCTAAAACTTATGAATTGAATATATTGAAAAAATTTCTCATGATAATGGGTATTTAGAGGTTTTAAAGGTCATCATGATTCTGTTATTAAACATGGCAAACTATGGAAATAGGGAATCTAAAATGGCGCCCTCGACATTCAGTTTTATACGTAGGATTGCAGTAATCGAATTTTTTATCAAAATGAATCTGGGCGTGCTGTGTAAGACAAGTTGACTACGAATCTATTAATTAAATGGAAACATCAATGATGGCGAATTCAAAATGGCCGATCCAAAATGTTTGTGCTCGATTAAAGTCACATAAATATATTTCATACAATAAGATGAACGCGCTATCTTTCAACGTCTTCTATTGCGCACTGCTAAAGTAAAATTAAGAAATAATTCAAATTTAAAAAGTTCTGAAAAAATGGTAGGTATTAGACAGCTGGTAATTATTTTTACCCGATGAAAATGGTCTACTTGACCACTCTCAATCTGATTCAGAGACAATGGCGAGGACGAGAGGTTGTCACTGTCTCCATTATTTTATATTTTTTTATAGTTTTCTTTTTTTAATTTCTTTTGTGTTTTATATATCAAATCTTTTGTATTGGATTTCTCTATGTATAATATTTATGTTTTATGTATCCCACGATAAAAGATATATATAAAACGCAAAAAAATTTTAAATATACAATATATAAAAAATAGTAAAAAATAATGGAGACAGTGACCACCAATAGAGTTCCCAGAATTAAGAGTCTGGACGATCTTGTTTAATTTTTCATTGATTCTGAGCAATATGGCGCGACCAATCGTTGCTATTGGAACTGAAATGACTAAGCACATATGTGTGCACTTACTTAACTGTATATGTACAGGGTGTTACATCACCATACAGATCAGTATGACGGATTGTCCATTCATGCAGGCGCGCATGATCACAATTGCATAAACTTCAACGGCGCAATCAATAGCACACCTTCTTTTCTAATAAAGTTCGTAGCATATCAAATTATGACGAACTTCCGAAGAAATAGGTTAAAACAGAAGCCGAAATGGCAAGATATAGGTTATAAAAACGAATTTTATCATGAAAATGAAGCATGTCTTTCTTCTTATAAGAAAAATTCGATCATAATCATTGTGTAATATAATTTGATTACTTGAATTATTTTTACAGAGAACGAAAGTCAGAAATAAACATATCTTTGCAAATTTAAATTATAAATGGACCAATAAATTTGATTCACTGTAAATAATGACAATAATCGGTGGATCTAATAGTTATTTTGAAATAATAATAATTCATTTTAATAACAATTAAATAAACTGATGTTAATAATTCATTAATAATAATTTAATAAACTGGTATTAATAAATAGCATTATATAATTTTTTATATAAAAGACTGCATCTTATAAATCGCCAAGAGGATTATTACTAAAAAATATACATCAAATATGATGCAACTTGGCAAGTTTTATAAGATGTAAGTTAGCATCATATTCAATGTATATTTTTTAGTAATAATCCTCTTGGAGATTTAGAAAATATAGATATAATATGCAGTCATTTATATAAAGAATTGTATAGTGCTTATTAATCACAGTTTATTAAATTATCAATTTATTAATGAATTTATTAATGAATTATTATTCTTCCAAATAAATATTATAAGATTTGCCGATAATTATCCTTATTTAAATTTGCAGTGAATCAAATTTATTGGTCGACTTATAATTTAAATTTGCAAAGATATGTTTATTTCTGACTTTCGTTCTTTGTAAAAATATATAACTCAAGTAATATCAAATTATATTACATAATGATTATGATCGACTGTGATCGAATTTTTCTTATAAGAAGGAAGACATGCGTTTTCACGATAAAATTCGTTTTTATAATCTATCTTGTCACTTGGGCTTCTATTTTATAACCTATTTCTACGGAAGTTCGTCATAATTGCATCACAATTTGATTGCTACGAACTTTATTGGAAAAGAAAGTGTGCCATTGATTGTGCCACCGAAGTCTACGCAACTGTAAACGACCTTGCGCGCCTGCTCGAATGGGCAACCCATCATACTGACCTGTATGGTGATGCAACACCCTGTACACCTGTTGAAAATTCTTGTAAGTTTTTGTACCAGATCTTAATAAAGTTGTACATGATCAATCAAGATTACTAAATGAACGTATATGATCATATAAGAATCTTATATAATTTTTACATGAATCTCACCAGTAATAATCTTTAATGACTTAGGAATCTGGCATGAATCGTACACGATGATTTATATCGCAATGAAAAAATATTGCTTTAACAAATATAATAGTAATAAGGCTCAATAAATTCAAAAATTACAAAAAGGAATAGGGCTACGAGCCAAAGGCTCGTATATTGTCCTCTTAACCTTATAAGAAACTCTTAAAAAAATAATTTCTTTACAGGATCATCCAAGAATATGGTATTAATTATGTAGGATTCCTAAATGTTACATGAAAGATTATGTGTTAGTCTTAAAAAACATAGTTACGAAATACTTTATCTTTCAAGTTGGTGCAGGAATCTGGCAGGAATCATACACGACGATTTATATCACAATGAAAAGATTTTAATTACTTTAGCCTAATAAGATACTTTTAAGAAATAATTTCTTTACATGATCGCTCCAAAGTAATAAAGGTATCAATCATCCCAATAAACGAAATAGAATTATTAAATGAACAGAAACTGGATTAAATATATGAAATGAAAAAGAATGAAGAAAAATTAAAAAATTTGTTAGAATACTAAAGATGATTGAATATATTATCACTGTCTTAATGAATTGATAAATTATAATTTCGCCATAATAACTGACATAGACTTTTTATGCTCCTTTCCCAAATTAAGTTTGATTTAGTTGGAAAGCCGTTATTCAATTTGTGTAAAAAGAATTAATTTTTAGCCAAAATGAATTCTTTTAAATTCCATTCAACTCCTTGCTTGTCTATTTTATTTATTAGGATACGAGCAATAAATCCAATCACAAAATTCTAATAGTATTCTTGTAATATTTTCATAATGACACTCCAGTTATATTCTTACAAGATTCACGTTACATGCGTGCAAGATTCATGTAACATGCATGTAAAGTCATGTAACATGCTTATAAGATTCATGTAACATGGGTGTAAGATTCATGCAAGATTCTTGATTTATCTATGGGTATCATATGCGATATATTCTTATATGATCTTGTATTGATTGTTCCTGTCCGAAATTCGGTGAAAATATGTGAAAATTTTCTTGAAAGATTTCACAAGAATTTTTCTTATAAGAATTTGCAACAGGGCAATTGTATAAGTGCACATGTATGTGTATGTCACATATACTGCACATATACGTACGCCATTTTGCTTCTAACTAGATGATTGTCCAGACTCTTACTTCTAGGGACTCTAACCACCACGTCCTCGCTATCTCTGAATTAGACTGAGAGTGGTCAAGTATCATTTTCATCGGGTAAAACAAATAATTACCAGCTGTCTAATATCTACCATTTTTTCAGAAACTTTTTTAATTTGAATTTTTTCTTAATCCTACTTTAGCAGTGCGCAGTAGAAGACGTGGAAAGATAGCGCGTTCATCTTATTATATGAAATATATTTATGTGACTTTAATCGAGCACAAACATTTTGGATCGGCCATTTTGAATTCGCCATCATTGATGTTTCCATTTAATTAATAGATTCGTAGTCAACTTGTCTTACACAGCACGCCCAGATTCATTTTGATAAAAAATTCGATTACTGCAATCCTACGTATAAAACTAAATGTCGAGGGCGCCATTTTAAATTCCCCATTTCCATAATTTGTCATGTTTATATAATAACAGTATCATGATGAGCAACCTTTAAAATCTCTATGAGGTTAACCTGTATAATAACCTGTATAATAACCTAACCCGTTATTATAAGAAATTTTTTCAATATATCCATGATAAGTTCTAGCGTGGTATACGAAAATTCGACTTACAAAAGGAAACATATATTTAAAAAATCTACTTTCTCTGCATTTTTTGGGATATAAAACTATTTTTACTATTTCATGTTGATCCCAAACAACAACTTTTTGTGGTTAACTAAGGTTCCACAGGAGGCCAAAAATCGGACTTTTTAATATCCTCCTATGGAAAAATTAATTTATAAAATAAACTTTATTGCGTAATATATCAATCAATAAATAATATGACTGGCTTGTCTTTATTTTTTAAATTCAATAAATACGTACTTTACCGCAAGCACGACAATGATGACGTCTTTTAAGTACAGTAAATTTAACATCGCACAACATACAACTAGGTGCATCACTATCTGGAACCCAAAATGGAGGCTGTTTTCCCAATACTGTATTACATTCGACTAAAGAATTATCAGAAACATCCGACGAAGCACCGTGATCTTCATCAACAACACCAATTTCTGAGTGTTCTGGTATCCCTGGTGCAGTACTTGAAGATTCTGTTATATTTTTTTTCAACATGAAAAAATTGAAGTTATATATTTTTATAATTGTGTGAAAAGTATTTGATATACTAATTGGCAAAACAAATGATTGTGAATGAAGATATAAAGGTTTCTCGAGATAGACCATGTCCTATCAGCTATCAGTAGCAGAACACTTGCAATATAGCAACTTGTAGCACAGCAGAAATCGTACGATGATCTATTATATATATATAATCTATTATATATAATAGCATAAATAGACAAAAATAAATCAAAAAACTTTTTAACAAATTAGAATATTGCGCTTCTTAATTGATTTGTTTAATAATCTGTAAAACTTAGAAACAAGATTTACGAAAAGATATTGAACTTTTATTTTGAATCCAGTAAATGAACAATTCTCCATAGAAAAAAATTGTTATTCAAGTTTTCAATAATCAATTTAATATTCTCTAAATCCTATATTGGAATTGTATCAGAAAATAAGCTGATATAAACAAATACTACACATTTTTATTTTTATTAGTCACATTTTGTAGTCTTTATATTTATCTGTAACACAGAAATTTGAATACAAGAAAGATACGTCATATAGTAATAAACGAAAGAACTATAGTTCGATATTAGAATAACATATCTAACATAATATTGATATTTTTGTCATTATTTAATGACAAGATGCTGTAATTTTACTGTGTCTTTACTGTTATTTTTTTTTAGACATGCTCGATTTCTACCGTGTTTTTGCCATCTTGCCGTGCAAAAGTAAATAAGTTCGATTTCTAACGATATTTGCCAGTATAGTATGAAGTCATATTATGATCAAATTTGACTTAATTTCTGTTGACATATTGTGCCAACGTACAATGCTCAAATTAATCTTTAGAATTTCTTAATTTTTGTAACATTTTTTTAGCATATCAGAACATGGAAATTGTTTGCTTTCTGTTGTATTTTTGCCAACATTGATTCCGCACGGGAGACGATACATCATGTTTGGCTGCTGCTAAAGGTTTGACAACATAGCATGTAGTCCACGTTTGCAATATGTGATCATGGCCGACCTGACAATTTAGGGACATGTGCTAGCTCTCTCTTTTCCAAAAAAAAAACAAGTATAGAATACTGTAAATAAAAAAACTGATATACCAGAATTCTTTGCTAACTTTTTGCTTTAAAATACTACAAAGAGAAATTAAAAATTTGAATGATTATAACTGTACTAACGCTGGTCATTATAACTATATAAAAATAAAGCGAAAAAATAAGAAGTTAATTAGTTTAAGGTGATCTTAAAGTTATCTGTTTTAGCAACTAAACGCTAATTTTTGTAACGCATTTTCATATATACTTCTTTTACAAATTTTGGAAATCCTTTCTCAGAATTAAAATAAGAAGTTAATTAGTATAAGGAGATCTTAAAGTCGTCTGTTTTACCAACTAAATGCTAATTTTTTGTAATGCATTTTCGTATACACTTCTTTTACAAATTTTGGAAATCCTTTCTCAGAATTAAAATAAGAAGTTAATTAGTATAAGGAGATCTTAAAGTCGTCTGTTTTACCAACTAAATGCTAATTTTTTGTAATGCATTTTCGTATACACTTCTTTTACAAATTTTAGAAATCCTTTCTAAGAATTAAAATATACGCAAGAAAAATCTTATTTTAGACCATACATGTGAGAACACAATCGATAAACTAGAAATTAAACGCCTATAACGGTCGAAGCTGGATTTTTAATACTTAAATAATTCAATGTGAATTATATAATATATACAGTCATGGACAAAATTGAATGGACACTTATTTATCTTATATGAAAGTATTGTAATTTTATCAATTTTCCTAATCAATTTCTTATTTTTCTACTTTATATTATAGTTTGCATTATCATCAATAAATTTGGCTAATAGTTTTATTATCTTCTTTTATATTATTTCTAAAATAGATTTCTAAAATAGATAAATTATGTAAAATAAATATTAAAATCTATTTTACATAATTTTTCGTATTTTTCCTTTTTCATAGCATATTTATTAAAGAATCTGGTTACATTTGTTCATAAATAACGATTATACAATGTAAAATTACTAAACGATATACTCAATATCGCATTGTGTCTGAGGATTAACTTCAAAAAAAAATCAAATTAGAAGTTAATAGTTACCCCGATAAAATGTGACTAAATTAAGTTAAAAAGTTAAGAGTCTAAAATGTAACTAAGTTAAGTTAAAATTAATTAACTTTTTAACTTAACTTTTATCTTTTTAACTTAGCGCTACCCAACCCTGCACACATTAAATTAAATTGACGGGAATTGAACCTGGATCTCTTGTATTCCATACAAACATCCTAAGCCTTTAGACCAAGGCCTTACAAGGGAAGTGGCCAAAGTGTTAATCGCAAATTTATACAAAATACCGTCAAGGCACTAGTTTCTGATCAGTCTCTAATTTCTGATCAGTTTAGTGAATAAATTGTTTTATTGCATTCACCGTCATAAATATTCATTGTAAAAAATATTTATAATAAAAACTGAACATAGAGAATAATAAGATTGAAAGACCGCTAATGTTAAACATAATGCTTTAAATTAAGAAGCGCCATAACGTTCTGACCGTTATGGCGCTTCTTAATTTGAACATAAAGAATTACTAAGTGTAAATATGGAAGTTCCAATTGAACGCATTTTTATGACAATAAATTCGTCAAGATAAACGTTCGGACAAGAGACGCATATGCGGCCATCTGTTATGGTCGGGCGTAAGCCGACGAAAAAGGTTCTTTGTTTCGTCAACTTGTCATTTGCACGCGTTTAATGAAATCAAGGTAATTATATATATTTCCTTCAGAGAATAGTTTACTAATAGATGTCGTCAAAAAAAAGAACATTTTGTAATTTTTAACTCGAAAAAGATGGGTGATTACTTTTAGGTTCTGATTTTTCTCATACATATCCAATTTTCGCTCAGTCAAGTAACACATAACCTATCTTGTAGCTTATTTTACTATTTTTATAAGATCTACTTATTTTCCCGATTAATATTCAAAATATTGTATAAAATTGAATATATAAATTATGTATATATATATATATGTATATACATATATATACACATATATAAATTTGATTTAAAGATATGAAAAAAAATTTAACTTCGATAAAGTTTCTGATAAAAAATGTTTATCCTTTCTTCAGCTGAATAAAATCCACGCTGCAATGGCATCAAAAGAAAAAACTGTGTACAAAAAGTACAATCCAGAGAATATGAAAAGAGCTCTGGACGACATTCGCTTGAAAAAATTATCAGTGCGTGCAGCTAGTAAGTTGTACAACGTGCCTTTCTCAACATTACTAATGAAGCATCATGGCATATATCCGATGAATGCTAGACCAGGTCCTGCGACAATTCTTACTTCAGAAGAGGAAAATGTATTAGTTGAATGGATTTTACATATGAGTGTGACTGGTTTCTGCATTACAAAGGAGCAGCTGTTGAACAGTGTCCAAAAATCAGTCAAAGATTTAAAACGAAAAACACCATTTACAGATGGTAACTTTCAAAACGATGGTACCAGTCTTTTCTCAATCCACAAGTGTCACTGAAGTTAGCACAAAATTTATCTCTTAGGAGAGCTGAAGTGTCGGAGAAAGATGTCCGTAATTGGTTTCAAGAAATAAAGGTATATTTAGAATCTAAAAATTTGTTAAATATCAGTGGTTCGAGGATTTTCAATTGTGATAAATCGGCTTTCTTACTGAATCCAAAATCTAAAAAAGTGCTGGCATCGAAGAATCAGAAAACAGCTTATATTCGAATCACAACAGATGAAAAAGAATGTCTCGCGGTTCTTATCACTGGCAATGCAGACGGACAACTGGCTCCTCCCATGATCCTCTACGCCTACGAACGTATACCTGGTCCCATAGCTGCAGCAGCACCAATAGGGTGGTCTCTTGGTCACTCAAAAAATGGGTGACCCAAGAGAGTTTTTATGAATACGTAACAAGTGTTTTTTACAAATGGTGCCTTGATAATCATTTGGAATTTCCTATAATTCTATTTGTCGATGGTCACCGTTCTCACTTGACACTTGCTCTCAGTGATTTTTGTGTCCAGCATAAAATTGAATTAATTGCTTTATATCCAAATGCAACACATCTACAGCCAATGGACGTTACCCTTTTTCGACCATTAAAATTGAACTGGAATAAAGTTGTCGCAACATGGAGAATGGAACATGGTGGAGTGTCAGTGGACAAAGTGAATTTTGCTCCTCTTCTTAACGAAGCTATCAGTATGCTCGACATAAAAAGAATACTTGGAAATGGATTCAAGGCTTGCGGATTACATCCCTTTTCACCAGATGCTGTGGATTATTCAAGACTTCTCCGTTCGAATATAACTCACATGAATCAATCTATAGAAAATGAAGAAGCGAAAGACAAAAATATACGGTTCATAGAGAAGAACATTTCTCCAAAAACTTTGGAACGTTTCAAGATAAATAAAACTGGAATTTGGACAGGAAAGATTCGAGATGAAAATTTATTCTATTTCTGGCTAAGAGCTACTAGTAAAAAAACCCTCACTCAAGAAAATTCATCTCAACAATCAAGAAATTATTGCAGATGGGATAGAATAATTAAGATTTTGATCGAACTATTTCTGGCTAAGAGCTACTAGTAAAGAAACTCCCACTCAAAAAAATTCATCGCTCAACAATCAAGAAATTGTTGCATGGGATAGAATAATTAAGATTTTGATCGAGAACACTTTTTACGATAAAAATATTCATAGAACTATTTTTATTATCTACATTTTAATTTTTACATATTTCTTATTTACAATTTTAGATTTTACAATTCAATTATTAGAATTTTATCTATAAGTTTATAATTTAATACAATTTAATATGATTCAATATTTACAATTTGATTTTTTATACATCTAGTGTGTCATTGTCAGTATATTTTTAAGATCGGTTTTATAATACATAATTATACAT